CCCAAAAGTTTCCTCCTATTTCCCATTTTTCTGACTTTATTTCATTATTCTTCACGGTTTATGCCTCATTTGCTGTTAGGGAGTCTCCAGTCTTCTTTTGTGGGACTTTGGACAAAGGCTTACAGTCATCTTCGCTGTCCTCTGCATGGCCTCACAGGTTTGCGCATGTGTACTGAGTGTTGTGTTGGGTAGGTCTGATTAGTCTTACATTTAATGATTTTTACGCCGTATGCCTAAAGTCATTCTAATTTTGTCCATCTTGAGGCCATTTTCATCTTGGGACATCACTTACCTTCCAAACTACATCTTGTACCTCAATTTTAACATGTAACATCTGTGGAGGGGTACATCTGCCTTGTACACTGATTCTTTTGATTGCTTCTAATAAGAACTTTCCAAATAGTTACAATTCAGTCAGCATGAATCAATTCCATTTATTACAAGACTACAGGAGAACATTCTGTAAGCAGAGGTCACATCCCAGAGCATCTTACTAACAACTTCCCCCACCATCTCCTGGGGTGCAACAGGAAACAGCTGGAAAATGTTTCATTTGGACTTTTCCTACCTGCTCAATAGAAATTGCCAAATTTAAGGTCACCAAGCAGGGTCCAATCCCCACAGCCAGCTCAGGGTTAGAAAGGAGGCATTACTTTATTTCTGCTCTGGATGTGTGGGGAATCCCTTCCCTAACTTGTGCACATGTAGCAATCTCACCTACTAGTTTGTATCCATGGAACTAAGACGTATTCAATACTTTGCTGAAACTCACAGGCTAAACACTGCCCCAAATTAATGGACATATTTAAATCACTTCTCAGAATTTATTGACATGAGAGCTGGGCTGTCCTGAGGCTCTCTGGTAGAGAGCCAAGACCCAACCAGGGTTGCAAAGCAAATTTATTCTATTAGTTGCAGTAGCAAATAATACATACTAACCCCTGGATTCCCAGAAACCCACTGAGCAGGAGAAGGAGGTGAAGCATGGTGCCCGGCGGGAGGGGCAGGTAGGCAGTGCAATTTCAGGAGATCCCCTGCATCAAAACAGTCGGCATCTCATCCTTCTCACTCCTCCAGCCCAGAACCAGGTCTTGTATCTCCTGCTCAGGAGTGGAATTTTCCCAGTGACAGCATCACCTCCCACATGGCCGGCACGTGAGATGAGACCACGATGGCTCAGAATACCGACTCCATGCCAACAATGCCTCCATTATGAACTGTTCCTCTTTCAAAAGTTAACTGCCCACCCATTGACCAATCCATTGTTTCTCGTGCAACGGTCAAGTTCCCACCCATTAAACTATATAGTTTCCTTGAGATTTCTGAAAGAGTCAGAAGGAGGAGAATCTTCCAAATGAGTTGATGTTTCAGAAAACTTTATTTATTTGCAATCCTACTCTACAATCCTACACAACATCCTACACTACAGTCCTCCTACTCAGGAATCCTACTCTATAATCCTAGTCTACCATCCTACACTACATCCTACACTACAGTCCTCCTACTCAGGAATCCTACTCTATAATCCTACTCTACAATCCTACTACCTGAAAATCCTGCTTTACAAAACTACTTGTCAATCCTACACTACAGTTCTACTCTACACTAGTTACAAAGACAGTATTTTCCGTCACACTTCTTCTTCTCCTTCAATGAAATAATGAGTGGTGACAGGGTGGATGCTGCCTTGGCTGATGTTACAAATGGATGCTGCCCACAGGAAAAAAAACAACAAAAACCATTAAACCATGACTTTCCAAGCTCTGTGCTTCACAGGCTCACTCAGGATTCCTCTGCTTCCTAGAAAGACCCAGAAAGGGGGCAGACGAGACCATCTGCACCTCCATCTTCATGTGCAGTGCCTTGCCATCACAGGCAAACCTGGGCCAGAGTCCCACTCATCCATGAATTCTGGTGTCTAAACTTGATGGAATGTTTTCCCCGCCAGTGCTCTAGAAATGGTGCTTTCTGTCCCTGGTGTTTCTACCTTTCAGGAAACTCCAAAGCCTCACATAGGCCCCCCTCTTTGAAAGACAGGCACCGTGCTAATTTCTACAGGCAGACCGAGCAGGTCTACCTTTCCATGCCCTGCTCCTCCAGTGCTGGATGGTACCTTCCTTCCCAGCAGGGACAGCTGAGTGGCACTGGGTCCTGCAGTTCCCTCTCTGCCACACAACCTGGCAGTAACCCTGGGGCAGTTGCTGTCTGCTTGACCGTGCCAGGCAGAGTTTCACAGTGAGCCCTCGACAGCCCCTCCTTCCCACAGCCAAATCTCTGACCACTCAGCCAGGACTGGTTTCCTTGGCTTCCTCCACCACCATTACACACCTCTGTAATCTGGATTTCTCTACTTCAATTCTCTTGCCATTAGATAAAACTGAACACCCCACCAAATTGCAGAGCAGGGCAACAGAAACAGTCAGAGCGCAGAGCACCTCTCCTCTGAGGACAGGCTGAGAGACCTGGAGTTATTCAGCCTGGAGAAGAATAGACCCCAGGGAAACTTCATTGCCACTTTCCAAATCTTCAAACTGGCTTCTGAGCAAATCTTCAAACTGGCTTCTGAGGGAGTGTGGGACATCTTTTTGAACAGGTCCAGTTACAACAGGATGTGGGCTAACATTTTTAAGAAAAAGGGGAGTGAGTCAGCGCCCCTAAGGTCTAAGGAAGAACTTCAGTCAGACCATGGTGCAACACTAGCACAGGTTGCCCTAAGAGCTAGGTGCCCTGTTCCTGGAACCATTCCAGGTTAGGTGGGAAGGGGCTCTGAGCATCCTGATCCCTTTAAAGATCTCTCTGCTCATTGCAGGGCACTTGGATCAGGTGACCTTTACAGGTCCCTACAGGTGAGGAGGAGGAAGGCTCATCTGATGACCTGGATTGCACAGGTGAGGAGGAGGAAGGCTCATCTGATGACCTGGATTGCAGTGGAGGAGGAGCCCATCCCTGGGTCACTGTTTCACCTGCAGCCCCTCGGCATTTTACCTGCAGGAGCTCCTTGGCAGACCAGCGCCGTGCCTCGTCTGTCTGCAGGCAGCAGCACAGGAAATCACACAGGCATGGTGAGAATAGGTTGGGCTGCTGCAGCTTTGGTCTCCCTCCTGTGGCTATCCGTTGATGCTGGAAAAAAAGGAAACACAAGGCTCCACCTGTTTCTTTCCCATCTGTAACTGCTCTCCCAGAGCCCATTGTTAAAGCTCCACTCTGCACTGGCAGTTTCTGCCATAGCAGAGAGGTAGAGGTGACTGTCCTATACCAAGAAAAAACCTAATCCCAATGCAGCTTTTCCAGCATCCAGCAGATCTTGCCTTGGCAGCTGATTTCATCGACTGACCTGGTTATGGGAACTACATCACCAAAAGCATGTTTCCTTCTCTGAGGATTCACACCAGCTTGACATATTTTGTCATATGACTATTTTGGAGACTTAGCTATACTAACTCTACTGCTTCCAAGGATTATTACATGAATAATCTCTACAGTGCTTGTTGGTCCCTTAAGCACAGCTGCCAGAAAACAAAACTCATCAAGCTTTTGCCGCTGTTGTTCTCGAAAACAATGGTAATTGGGAGAAAAGAAAGGAAATCCACCAGGCATTCCTCAGGCAAGGAAACAAGCATTTGGAATCTCATATTCAACACAGACACATTAAGATGCCTGCACAAATGTATTAGGATGAAAATGCCAGTTTGGGCCCAAAGGGGCACACAGGGGCTGCCTGCAGCTCTGTGTCTCAGCAGTCTGCAGGTTTCTGCTTCTTTACATGGCAAAAAGGAAACCTTCTCATGGTCAGCGCAGAAGAAGGAGAAGTGCCATCCCTATGGTAATCCTCTGCTCCTTTGGATACTCAAGTCAATGCATTCATGAAATGCCAATGCATTCCACAAAGTGCCAGGCAAGAAAAGGGAGGTTTTGCAAGTTCTCCATGACACCAGGCTCTGCCATGGTCTCCATAAAAGCACCCATCCCAATGCTAACAGCTCTGTGCTGGTGGCACTGAAGTAGATGGTGACCAGAGAGACTTTGTTATCATGTGTTCTTCAATCTACAGGAAACCTCCCAATCCTAAAACAGCCAACACATTCCCCTTGAGTAAAAGTAATTCTTGCAGCTTTCTTTCCTTTTCCCACATCACCAGAGGTCACAAAGGAGGTTTTATTCTGTCCCTGTGGAGCTGAGTTCAGCCACACAACATGGTGGGGAGCTGGAGTCCTCACTGTCACTGGCACTGTGCAACCCAGGATGGCCCTGCTCCTGTGCTAAAGGAACAGCACCAGTATCAACCACACACCTTGGATCCCAGCCCCAGGCACGTAACTGCGAGTTCATCCACTTGTTAGACAACCAAGAAACAGACAAGGGTGCTTTTTCTTTCTCTTTCTCTTTTTCTTTTTTCTTTTTCTTTTTCTACTTCTTTTTCTTTTTCTTTTCCTCTTTTCTTACTTTTTCTCTAAAACTGAAACTGGGAAGATTCAACCTCCATTTTGAAAGATATTCATCACACATCTTAATGTCCCACTGAAATATTCTTGTCCTTCAGAGACAAAGCTCCAACAGTGTTCAAAAAGCAAAGGAGAAATGTCAGGAATGGCTGAAGGACAAAATGGCACGTTTCTGAACTGGGTACCTGCCACTTCTCTTCTGATGCAACCAAACCTACAGCAGATGCTGACGTGCTGCAGGGACATTTTTAGAAGGGGACCTTGGTGGAAGTGGTGCCAGCAGATGGCAATGGCATTTTGTCCAGTTGCACACAGGACATGGGACAGGTGAGAAAGTCAGCAGGATCAGAGAGTATTTTCTCCTTACCAAGACAGGAATTTCATTCCAGGAAGGAACTTCTCATTCCACCATTTTGATGCCCACGATTCCAAAAGACCATATGTCCATTTTGGGGCCATATGGTTGCCCTGTCACGACTTCAGGCATCCTGCACCCAGAAGTGCCGGCCACGG